GAAGAATTGGAAAAAAGGAAAACAGAAAAGAACATACCCATCACAAATACCAAATATTTTTCAACTCACTAAGCAACAAACTTTTCACATTACAATCTCTGGCTTCAAAATGCTAGATTTGATCTCTTTGTGAGGCAAAACCACGCCTCCATTGCTGTATATTTCATCACCAACATGAACATCTTCTCCAAGGATAGTCATGTTCTCCACACGAGCCCACTGCCCAACAGTCGAGTGCCAGCCAATGATGCTACTCGAAATGCAAGCATGTTTCTTAATGCGGACACCTCGCATTACTGTGCATCGAGACAGCCTAACACCTGATTCAACGACACAACCTGGCCCGATTGCAACATCAGGTCCAATCAAGCATCCCTCCCCAATTTTGGCACTCTCGTCCACCAGAACATTTCCAATGATATGAGGTCCAGCGGCCAACTTAGGAGAAGATTTCTTCTTCAAGGAGTCCAAGTAAAGTCTCAGTCCAGAAATGTAATCCCTTGGTTGTCCAATGTCCATCCAAAACCCAGGCAGGACCATTGCATAGAGCTTCTTATCTCTTGCAATGTTCGGGAACACCTCTTTCTCAATGGATGTGGGGCGTAATTCAATACGATCGAGAACTGAAGGATTCAGCAAGTAAATACCAGCATTGATCTTGTTACCCACAAATAATTTTGGCTTCTCAACAAACCTCTCCACTTGTCCAGTTGATTCTTCCATAACAACGACACCATATTTTGAAGGCTCGTCCACCTATATCATTAAAAAGTTTTTAACTCTTCCAAAATAAACCTCCAGAAAATTTAACTCAGGACTAACATTCAACAGGACCTTACCTTGGTCACCATTATGGAAGCCTCACCTCCATGTGATTTATGGAATTCAATCATCTGTTTGAGTGGGTATTCACTGATAACATCGCTGTTGAGAACGAAAAAGGGGTCACCAGAAATATCTGTCAGTTTATCCCGAGCCAACGCCAGGGGACCTGCAGTTCCGAGTGGTTCAGTCTCTTGTGAGCATGTAATCTTGATCCCAATTTTCTCCTCAAAGTCTTTCAAGAAGTTCAGCATTACCTGCAAAACGAAGACCAACTTTTCGTTAGTAACTCCTATTTTTTACCTGATCTCCAATTAGAATTATGAACAAGCAAGAAGAGAATGAGAAAGTAAAGCAGTTTACCTCTGGCTGATAATTGATAGCTAGGACTACTTCAGTCACTCCAATAGCCTTGAGAGCCTCTATCTGATTCAATGAAAAATGACATAGCAAAAATGATATACACAATATTAGATGTATGGGTGATAGAGTGGAGTCGGCACAAAATGTACACTCATGAGAACAGGATGTACCACAACTCAGATACCAAATCATTAACACAGATCGATGGTTTATAGTAATATCCAAGTTTCTTTACACAGCTTCTCAACCAGAAATTAAACTATAATTTATAAAAAGGGGAAATCAGTCTATCTACTAAGATATTGATAAACCCCTGACTCTGAATAGCAGCTGGTTCAAGAAAGTAACTTCCACACACAAAATTTTGAAAATGGAGGCAGTGTTTGGTATATTATATAATATATGACAAGTTTAAATTGGCAAAACCTGCCGAAATTTATTTACTATAAGGATTAGTGAACCTGGAATGTGTATAATCAAATATATACTCTATGGCAAGGTCCATCGGAAATTGAAGAGATGACTATAAAAAAATGTAGATATAATTCAAATTATGCAAAGCTGAACCCAAAAAATGGATCCAGAATATAATACCTGATGCAAGATCATGGGCTTGTTAGCAAAGTCAACAAGAGGCTTTGGGACACTGAGTGTCAATGGCCTCAATCGTGTACCAAACCCTCCAACTAGAATGAGAGCCTTCATCCTGAGACTGAGATGATCTCCTTTATCGTATTAACTAAACAGCCTGAATTTCAATCGAGTGTTAAGACGATAAATAAAATAAACTAAAACACGAAGTCTAGTCTCTCTATATTTAAGCACAGGAAAAGGAAGAATCATGCAGCTCTACGTAACTCAACGTTGACATCTGTAATGGGATATGATGATAGATGTCTCATTTTCGTGAAAGTTATCGGTTCATCATGTCTGTTTACGATGAAACTCACATGAAAGTACAGGTGCAAGGAAGGGTGATGAAAATTTAAAGTTGCGGAGAAACGGCCAATTCTTGCATACGCTTAGTAAGAAGACAAAGTGCTTAGATGGGATGGAAACAAACTTCCAGCTATAAAACAGGCTGGATCTTTGAATGAGGATGATAAATCTACTGAACTTTGTAGTGAATTTCCTGCTTTAGACTACAAAGAATGCACCAGAATACATTACATGCTATAGAAGAGAGTCGGAATAAGTTATATAATACAACAAGAATTCTATCTTATAAAAATAAAGCTGTGTTTCATTGAACAGGACAGAGCCTTGGCACAAGAATTCCTAAAAGTTCTTCCGGAAATCAACGACCTCCAAAATTTCGAGCACCAACACCAATAGTATCCTCATTTCTCACCAAACCAAAAAAAGAAAAAAAAAAAAAAGAAAAAGAAAGTGTGACCAAAAAGCAGATTTGGACAAAATTTAAGGCGAATCTCCACTGAACACAATGCAGCGTGTTTAGTTTTATAAATTGTCGTGGCAAAAAATAAAGCAAAATCCATCGAAACCATGAAGGTAAATGATTTTTATCGTAATAAATTATCAATAATATGAATTCATACCATTCGGGGTGAGGGAGAAATAAATTATGAGTTTGTGATTCGGAAACCATAAATTCAAATTGACTGGAAGATGCGAAAAACATCATAAACACCAGATCCAAATAAACACGACATATTGAATGCAGCTAAGACAATTTATTCAATAATTAATCCAAAGACCTTTCTTTTTCCTTTACTTAAAACTCCAAAAACCATAAAAATGCTTCCAAAACAGCAAAAATAAATGAGAAGAAATTACATCAGCATTGCAAGATTTCTTTAAAAAAAAAAAAAAAAAAAAAGGAAAGAGAAGCAAGTCAACTCCGAGTTCAAGTCAGAAATTATTTTCTTTTCTTTCCCGCACTTATTGACAATCCCCAACGATTGGTTGCATCGTCAGGGTGTCTCTATTCCCCTCGATCCGATCTGTGTGTGATGGATAACACGGAGACTTTAATGATGAGTATATATAGATAGATACATATATATCTATTGTACAATTGTACTAACAATTACAATACGGTGCATGCTATATTTTAATTGTATAAAACATTCGTAAACTTTAAAAATTATCACATTTATATTTCAAACTTTTTTAATTGTATTCTTATTTTTCAATTATCATAAATTATTTTTAATTTCTATTTAAAATTTCTTTAAAATAAAACAAAAGAATCATTTGCTCATTGTATTTTTAAATAAGATTTCTCATTTCTCTCTTTTTTTTAAAATAAAGTAAAAAGACCCATTTGTCTATTGTACTTTTAGATAAACAAAAATAAGTAATAATACAAAAAATGCAAATAAATATTTGACCCTTATTTTAAAGAATGTTAACAACATTTTTTCGAAGAACATCATTTTTAATGACCATTTTTAGATTAATGAAATGTTAAATAAAAAAGTGATAAAAAAATGTTAAGGATATAAGTGTAATAATGAATTAAAGTTAATGATCTTTTAATATAATTAAAATGCGATACATTTATAGATAAATATGGTCTGAATATAACCACTCTTTTTATCCTGCAATAAAAGAGTTTACATGGTTGGTTTCGAGTTACGCATTTTTTTCCTTTTTATCCGTAAATTGATGTACTTAAAAAAATCATAGAACATTTTTTTATTCATCAAAACTATTCATAAAAAGAATTAGATAGAATAACTTCACATGGTCAACTGATAATGAAATAACAAATTTTGGGTATTAAAGAAAAAATAGAGATTGAAAGAAATAAATCTTGAAAAATATACTTTTACATTATTATTGCGCATAATAGTATCCATAATGTGATATGACAATCATCCGGTTGTTGATGCGCAAGTGTGAGATTTGAATTAAAGGTTGGATCCAATACCACGTGTAATTATGGACATCATTATGTAAACAATTATGTACATGTAGCACTTCCCAAAAGCGTTTTTTACTATCAATTCCAAAAAATATGCATTGAGAAAGAATAATGTTATTTGTATTCGCTCACTTCAACAGTCGTCCTACGTGGCATACACATGTCATGTGGTTATTTGATACATTAATGAATAAAAAAACTATCACATTACTGTATCGAACAATCACCTACCATGTGTATGCCACGTAGAGCGACTGCCGCAGTGAGTGACTACGAATAGTATTACTAATTGAGAAATGACGTATCATATGCACAGAAGAGTGTTCTTTCAACTATCTCGAATGGAACTTAATTCAAACACAAACTAGTTCCACACCCACACTAGAGCAAGCTGGAATGTCGTGTGTGTCTTCTTAGTCTTCAACACGAAAAAGGAATGGAAGAAAATTCATTTTCTTATGTCGAAAGAGTAATTAATGGTTTTTTTTTTATCACGTTAAAAGAAAGAGGATATAAAGTTTAATAAATAGTCTTCTCCAAAATAAATCTACCATTTATGACTCAAAATGCCATGCATATATGATATATCTAGTGTGACATAAATGATGAAGTTAATATATTTAAGTATTTATTCTACTTAGTGAGATGTCTAGTTGCATTGTTTACCTTAATTTCAAGTGCGTCATGAATTATTTAACTTAAAATTTCAATTATATTAAGTTTTCATTTTTTCCAAGTCGAATTAATAGGTTCCATCTTGATTGATCGAAACACGTTCAATGAATTTTAGTTGTTAGTTCTATCCAATTTAGCAATTGGGCTAACTAGTTTTTAGAGTAATGATATTTAGCCATATTGATTTAGAACATCAGTCTATGTAATATTAAGTGATAGGTTAAATGAAAGGTAGAATTAAATGACTTATTTAATTGTACTTATCATTTAATGTTATATAAGCATCATATAAACTATGAGTTATAACCTTAGTGGGGTTAAATAACATTACTCAACTTTTTAACCTTCAAAATTATTTAAACTTTTCATATCGATTGTCTTGTTATCTTAGACAGGATAATCTATTTTGTTCCAACAAAACCCATAAACAAATGGAGTCGTTGACAATTAAGGATAAGGTTTAATATCTAGTTCATAGCTTTTATCAAATTCGAAGTCATGTAACATCGAAAGAGATAGTAGGTATTTTTTTTATACTAATCATAAACTAAGAAAATAAATAAAATATTTATTTAACATGTAAAGATTTGTATTGGAATTATGAATTCCCTGTTGTCATTTAATTCAATTCTTAATTCGTAATCATATAAATTCATGAATTCAAGGCAATCAATAATTTTTTTTATTCAATATTATTTTTCAAGATATATTAAACATATGTTTAACATGACCCGTTCTTATTTCTAATCCGAATTCATAGAAAAACACGCATTGATTCATAAGATTTATCACACGTGATTGCCCATGCCATAGATATTATTCCTAATATCTATTGTCCATGTGTTGATTTTGTCGCATTCTAAACTTATTGTGAGTATTCATACAATATAACAAACAACTTACGATCCAATTGGTGGTCAAGCAATCAAATAAAAAATCAAGAAATACTAAGAATTAAAATAAACAAACAATATGGTTCAACATTCATCCAATACAATGAAAAAATTTAACATAACATTCTTGTGATTAAATCACACAAAAATAATTGGAAAATATACCCGAAGATAAGAAAGATGGAAGAAGTAGGGAAAAAATCCACGTTCTTGACTCAAATCTTGAAATCAAGCTATAAATCTTCAAAATTGTTGTATGATTCGGCTTGAATTGATATAGACACTTGTTCTTCGCTTTCAAAATATGTAGAATATGATGAAATTTAGATTGAATGGAGGTTTTTTATGTTCTAGTTGAGTCTTGATATTTAAAAGTTGCAAAAAATATATTTTTTTTTTTTATTATCTAGGGCGTGCGCTTGGCTAGTTTGGAGCACATCACTTGCTTCATTTTTTGTTGGGGCACGTGCTTATTCAGATATCCAATCGAGGTGATTTAAAGTGCGTTGACAAGCTAACTCAGAGAACTACAATTCTTTTAGAATTATCATTTTTCCAATTCGAAAGTTTGCTATGTCAAAATTGGGTTTCAATATGAGTTTAAAAATTTGAAGCATAACCTTTTTTGTTGAAAGTTGATGTGTGATAACACTCTGACCACTCTTCATCCATTTCACTTCTTTGCTCATCCAATTGATCCATAGTACTGGAATCTTTATCATGAGGTCCAAAACAACTTTTGAGTATTTAAACTTTGGATTTGCTTCATTTTTAGTCATTTTCAGTTCTTTCTTCTAATTCTTCGTCCAAACTTGAATTTTTCTTAATAAAAGTAATAAATAACAAATTAGGCACTAACTCATCCAAAACATAATAAAATATTATCATTTAGGACCTCGAATAAGTGAAGAACCAACACTTATCATATTTTATCTTATTATGAACCATAATAACAATTGTTCTATCAACTAAATCCTTAAGTAAATATTGTACAAGTACATCTGTTTAAGCTTTTAAAATTACTTACTTCTTGTTATTAATGTAATCCCTAACCAAACTCTGAGTTGGCAACTTGTAATTACACACCGATATATTTGAATAATGCCACTTAAATAGGTTTTGGAAAGAAATAGAGATAATGACAGGTTTTGTAAATTAACGGAGTGATATTGCACCATGTGTCCCCTTATTTTTAACTCCTGTCAATGAACATGTCTGTGTAGTATGATTGGATATAGTTTTGCTTTTTTAGCAAAGAAGAGGACTGTATATCCAATTGGTTCACAACATTTTTGTTACAGGATATAACAATAAATCCGTGAGATCGTATATATGCTTAATTGTAAGGATTGGAATAATAATAGGGATTTCCATCTAGCATACCTTCCTAATATAGACTTCTCAATCTGTGTAATTTGTTATGATTAATATTAAGAAAATATTTTCTCTCTTAAGATCATGGTATCAGAGCATATTTTCGATTTTGAATTTTTTGTTTGAGCTAATTACCTAGTGGTCGAGGAGTTATTCAAAAATTTGTGAGTCGAATTGAAAAGATTTTTGTGATCCCTGCATCTAATTTTTGTTCGAGGCTGTAAGCAGAAGCGCTTTTCGTTACAATGGATTTTTTGGTCAAAATTCTCGACCTTCGCTTTTGGTGGTAGGAAGGATCTTGGGGTGGTACCGCATCACTTGGGCATCATTCAATTTGAACCAATGGTGGTCAACAACAACTGGTTAGTGAGCAATCATCGATCAATTTTCTACTATTTTGGTTTAAGTTAGGCTCGTATTATAGGGCTGCATTGGTCTATTCGGGCAAATTTTTTCAGTAGGGCTGATTAAGTTTCAACTACCATTATTTTTTATTCTTTTCTATTTGGCTACTTCTTTGATTTGTGATTTGAATCTTGTATTTTATTTCTATGATTGAAAAGCAAAAGAATTTAGTTGTGACCGATGTTATTTCAGTGATGTCCAAAATCATGGAGTATAAGTTGATTGGTCCAAATTATTTAGATTGGTGTAAGATAGTTCGAATTTATCTGTGGAGTATTTCTATGGACAATCATCTCACTGAAGATCCACCAACGAATAATGCTAGCCATAAATGACTAAGAGATGATGCTCGATTATTCTTAAAAATTTGGAATTCCATTAACACTGAGATAATCAGTCTGATTAATTACTGTGAGTATGTTAAAGAACTGATGGAATATTTAGAATTT